CCAAACTACTTAAGAAATAAATGGAACTGTTGGGCTTTTCTTCTATAGTCACTATGAAAACAATTATGAAGATATTGATAGTGGTGTGAACCAAAAATATCTGGGAATCTCTAATCCATGAGGCTAAAAGAGTTATAATATCAATCCTTTCATAGTCATAACAGATGGTACTTCAAAAATTTTTTTTATTATATTGGTACATTTTAGGTATACAATATAATGACATTCATCATTGGAAATTTGCACCTTTACATAATCTCTCTTGATTCTTATTTTTTCCCCATTCCCCTGCCCACCCTTCAACCCCTCCACCCCTCCCTATCTACAAAGACTTTGTTTCCTTTTTTCTTTTTCTCATATTAGTTCCATTCCCTTCTTTCCTTTCCCCTACCCCTCCCACTTCCCCTTCCCCTTTGCACTATTTCTTCCTATTTCACATTATCTATTATACCTTTTGGTCCTTATTTACACTTTCAGTTTCTCACACTAGAGAAACTATTCGGTATTTATACATGTGTGTCCTATGTACTTCAAAATTTTTGTCCATAATAAAATCCACTACAACTTATTTTGAACAACATATTTTCCTAATTAACTCCAAAGTTCATAATAAGGAGTGTGAGTGTGGAATTTGTATTAATAGTCCTAATAAAAACTAATTTATTAATTATAGTATATTTCTGTGGAAGTGTTAAAGTGTGATATTTTTGAACTATCCCACCTAGTTATAATATTGTACTACTCGTTTAAAAAACTCTTTTGCTAAATACATTTTCTTTGCCAAGGGGTTTCGGATGATACAAGAATAAAACTTTAAGACACTCTTCATTAAAAAGGAAGTTATTTGCACAATTATGTACAGAGTAATTTTTGGTTAGGTGATTTAATGCACTTATTTATGCAACAGATGTTACTTCCCTCCTCACTGTTCCAGTGCTGTTATAAACATTGGGCAAAAAACTGAGAAGTCAAAGCAAGACAGTGTTTGAAGGAAGAAGTGGGTCTCTGAGAATCTGATCTCTCAAATGACATGAAGATGTCATCATAATGAAGACTGAAAATGTCACTTGGATATAGCAACAAGGAGGTCATTGGTGACCATAGCAAAAGTTATCTTGGCACAGAGACAAAAGTAGTTGAGGAAACCTACTGGTGATAGTAGTAACAGTGAGGAAATTTGGACAAAAATATCAACAACCTTTAGCACATTTTGGATGAGAAAGGAGAGAGCATTGGCTGAAGTGGCTATTGACTTGAGGATGGATTAAAAAACCCAGACACTTAAGCTGTTAAGCTTGATAAAAAGCTGATGGCGATGATATGGGAAGTCAAAAAGGATGAATAGAAAGAGAAAAGGAGAAAGAAAATGAGAAGAGGGAGAGAAGGAACGAGATTAGATATATGATTAAAAGAATATAAGACTCCTGAAAAGGCAGGAGACTGAGTGTGTAGCAAAGGTGGGAGCATTAGCTTATGGTCAACTTCTCTGTTGTAACAGAGCAGGAGTGAGGAGGAGTGGGTTTAGCTTTGGGAAGGCAAAGTGAATCTCCCTTTTGATGGTTTTTCAATGAGAACTGAGGTGACTCCTGTTCTTAGAGTCAGAGCAGAAGAGTGTCAGGAGAAAGTTTGAAAAGGGAAAAAGTTTTTAATCAGCAGTTACATAATACTATTGGGTGACTCGATAGCCATATTCAACTCTCCAATTGTAGACAGAGAGCAGATTGTTCTATTTATCTAGTGTTGGCTTTTGCCAGATGGAAGATGGGTGAGAGAAAAATTTAGAGGAATGAGGAGGTTCAGAGCAGTAGCTACAGTATCAATGAAATGAAGGTCCAAAAAGACTAAAGCAAACAGTTCAGTATTTGAAAAAGGAGAAAGATGATAGACTAAAAGAAGATGAAAGAGATCAATGAATAACAAATCCCTAAAGAGTCAGAGAATGGTTGTTGTAAAATTTGTTGAATCAGCAAGCTAAGAGGCAAACATAGTAAAGAATATAGAAGACAAAAATGAGAAGGGCTCCTAGTAGTACTAAGTTGAGTCAAGCAAATATCCTGGTTAGATAGATGGTGTTATTATATGTTATGTAAATTAACATAACACGTTTTAAAATAAATGTAGTTCTTAAGATAAAAGTAGCAAATTTTGCCGACAAAATTAGCAGAATGTGAGAATGACATGCATGGCTGTGTGTGCAGGTCTGATTAGATGCTTGCACCCTGCCCTACCACAAAGAGCTGTGCCTCAGCTTTTACACTTTCAAGGGTGGACAGTAGATTTGGGAAGAGGGATGACACCCAGGGCCAGGATTGCTCAGACCTCACTGCAATGGAGATTAGGACTGTCCTATTAGTTGATCTCATCTGGCATTTTTCACTGGACAGTAGAGTCTGTGTGTGTTACTTGTGTTCAGAGAAGTCTCTAAGGACCTCTGAATAAGGCAGCATATGCAGCAGCAGCCCCCAGTGGTTATGAGTGCAAGAAGAAAGTTTTACAAGTAAGGAGAGAATGCTGGAATATTGAATTTCTTCTGAGTATTTTTTCCTTTTCTCCTTAAAAAAAACAGCCTGTTTCCTAGTCCTATTTTCCTGGAGAAAATATTTGGACTAATGATGAGTATGGTTTCTGGAGGTGAGGTATTTTTTGATATATAGGAGCTATTCATGTGACCCTCTAGCATGTCCTCCATTGACTCTTGTTTTATGGATACTAAATGGAATGTGCTTCACTACAGGATTCTAGCCAGAAAGGACCATGGCAACTTTGCCACCCAAGAAGATTATCCCTGTGATTCTTCTTTAATAAGGAAATTTCTTCTATTGTATAGGAATGCAAGGAAGTTCATAATTCCTTACCCCTCTGGATAGATTTTAAACTCTTTTTACATCTGACAAGGGTACTTTTTCAGGGGTGCTATTCTCAGGTTATGGCAGGTTCAAATGTTTCTCTCTCTATGATGTTTTATCTGATGCCCCAGCAAGAAATCATATTCCTATCTCTTGAATTAGCACTTTAGCTATGAGTCTCATGGTGTTTGTCACTTGTTACCTTGAAATATAGTTATTTATGCACATATCTTATTTCTCTGATAAGACCGTGAGCTTTAAAGGAATAGTTGGTTTGAAATCATTGTTATGTCCATCACTATATTTACCATAATTATTAAACATTCAGTTGTTGAGTGACTGTAGTGGATTCTGCCACATTCTCTGTTGGTCTGTAGACTCATAATTGTTTTGTTTTTAACCGATACATATTATCTATAAGCCTGAAAGAGTACCACCCATCCAATGCTGGTGTTGCAGTCAGTGTACTATCCTATATCATATTGTACCAGTGCTGTGTACTCTTGAAATCACTTGTAAATTAATTATGAATGATCTTACATTGAGTGGTTGCTTAAACCTCTGGTAGAGAGGGAATGGGTCAGTAAAGACATGAACCTAGGAAAATAAACCCCATTCAAGCTAGGACCATAATTTCTTTCAAATAATGTCTTTCCTGGAGAAGTCTTAAAATTACAGAAGATGTTATTTCATACATTGCATGTAATGAACACTGCTTACAATATATTTTAGTGATCAAGAATTGATTCTGATGGAGGTAAAGTAGAGCAGAATGAAGAGTATCACATGTGTCTTGTAACTCAGAAAAACCCATCAAACCTGCCTTCACATTTCTGTGGGAAATGATCACAGACTTGCCAAGGAAGTCCTAATAATATTACAGGGTCATTCTGTCAGAACAAATTCTTTTTTTTTTTTTTCAAATTCTTGATTATGATGAGGCCTAGTATCAAAAGTCATTCATTTTTTTAAAAGGTAGATACTTATTTCAGAGGAGGAACTAGCCAAACCTTGCAATGTATGGCATGGGCTATTGATGAAATGGTGAGTCTCTTGATTGCTGGAATAGCGGAGTGTCTCTGAATACAACTTGGAGGTCTGGAGAGAGCTAGTGTGTAGGTATGGAAAGAGAAGATTAGCTTTGGCTTTGGATATGTTGAGAAAAGGAGCTGCTAACCACAAGGAACTGGAAATAAATGATATAAATTGAAAGGAAGTTCAGGACTCAAGAGAAGTTCAGAAGATACTTGCATGGAGGTTGTAGTTCAGTCTCTGAAACAGAGGGAAAAGTGCAGTCAGAAGTTTAAGAGAGAATCACGGAAACATTTTCATTAAGGCCTGAAGGAGTAGTGTACAGTGGTGACTCAGAACACTTCTAGTGTCATCTCAGACTTTGTTGAAAAAAGTCACTGCCTTCTGCTAAATGTCCTGAATAAATAAATTCCCAGCCATTGTTTCTGGCAGGAGATTGAACTAAACACAATTTAAAGCGTTTGATGATAGTAAATTTATCTGAACAAACCTGTGTTGCCTCATGATGCTGTCACAGCGGAGGGGCTCAGGGACAGTGTGGACTGCTGAGGATGTCCTCAGGGTTGTTAATGTCTAACTGGCAAACAGGCCAGTCTCTCATTGTCCAACTTGTCACCAAATACAAGTGAGTAACAGTTAATCCTGCTGAATTATTAATGACTGAAAACTTATTTTATCCAGATTCATGCCAATTTGGGTTAAGACTAATGAGACAAATAAGAATGATGCATGGTTAATGTCCTGTCTCTATTTACTCACCAATATTTTATCTTCATACTAGCCAATCTTTGCTTACAGCTCTGGGTCAGGGTGAATTCTTGCCATAGTGATTAATAGCTCTTTGGAATAATACTAAACTGGTAAATATGTTTAAAAAAATCAGGCTGGAATACCATTAAAAGTCTGTCTACTATGGAAAAATATTTCAGAAATTGAAGACCTGTTGGTTTGTTTATTGGAGTGATTTGGTGACTAATCTTATTTCACACCCCCAAGTACATGCAGTAAAATCTCTTAGGAATGCAGCTGCTCTGAATGGATAGCTGTAATCTAAAATTTGTACCATGCAGTGGATTGCTTTGCAATATTAAAACCATGTTTCATTTTCTTTTCCTACTTTAGGTTTTGGGAGTTGATGACAGTAACGTGGGGGATGGCAGCTCTCAGAAGCTGGCAACTGTTAATCTTCTTCGCTTCCTGTCGCTGGTCCTGATTCCATGCATCTGTGCTCTTGTCGTTCTACTGGTGATCTTGCTCTCTTTTGTTGGTGGGTAATATCATTACTTAAGAACTACGAAGTCAAAATTGAAATTACCATGGTTTTTAATGGTGATTACTACTTACCAATTAGTTAACCTGCAGTGTCAAATAGTAAAAGGATTAACTGTGAACTCTCTTAGGAAAATATGCCATGTTGGCCATTGTAATCACTCTACTGGATATTGCTTTTAATATTAATTAATTAAAGTCATTTAAGTAGTGATTACTACATTAGTCCTTCTTATTCAAATGGCCAATAAATATGTGAATAATGCTAAATATCTTTAACCATCAGGGAAATACAAATAAAAACTACAAAGATATTCCATTGTATCCCAGTCAGAATGTCAGAATGGCTATTACCAGAAACCAAAAATAGTAATTGTTGGTGAGGTTGTGGAGAAAAAAGAACCCTTATGCGCTATTCGTGAAAATATAAATTAGTACAACCACTATGGAAAATAGTATGGAGGTTCTTCAAAAAACTCAAAATAGTACTGCCATATAATCCAGTAATATCACTGCTAGGTATCTATCTAAAGAAAATGAGACCAGCATACAAAAGAGATGTTGCATACTTATGTTTATTGCAGCACTATTCACAGTAGCAAAGATATAGAACCAGCCTAGGTGTTCATCAACAGATGAATGGGTAAAGAAAATAACATGCACACTTGTGCACATGGATACACACACACACACACACACACACACACACACACACAATGAAGAGTTATCCACCCATAAAGAAGAATCAAATCATATCATTTACAGGAAAATGGATGGAACTGGCTGGAAATCTTCATGTTAAATGAAATAAGCCATGCACAGAAAGACAAGTATTACAAGCTTTCTCCCACATGTGAGAATTTTAAAAAGATGACCTAAAAGTAGAAAGTAGAGGAGTAACTGTTAGGGAAGGGGAAGGGAACTGTCCAGAAGAAAGTGAGAGAAGTGTATGAGGGCAGAAAGGAGGGTGAATATGATTGAAACCCAATATATGCATGTATTGAAATGGGTTTTACAGTGAAGCTCATTACTTGGTACAATAAATATGTGTTAATAAATATAATAATAAAAACTAGTCCTTAGGTGCTCACGGTTCAGAGGAAAAAAATGATTATCACACAAGGTGACATATAATGAAGATAAGAGATATATAAAGGTCCTCAATGTGCATCCACTTAGCTATAAATGTCTCTAGTTTCTCATTCTTTGTGGTTGAGTAGTACTCCATGTTATAAAAAACCACATCTTCTTTATCCAGTCTCCAGTTGATGGGCAATTGGGCGGTTTCCAAGCTTTAGCTATTACAAACTGTGCTGCTATAAACATGGGTGAACATATATCACTGTGGTATGATTCTTTTAATTCTTTTGGGAAGATACCCAGCAGGGGAATAGCTGGGTCAAATGCTCTAGTCCTAGTTCTTTGAGGTATCTTCATACTGATTTCCACAGTGGTTGCACCAGTCTGCACTCCCACCAACAATGGAGAAGGGTTCCTTTCTCCCCATAACCCTGCCAGCATTTGTTATTGGTTGATTTCTTGAAAGCAGCCATTCTTTCTGGGGTGAGGTGGAATCTCAGTGTTGTTTTCATTTACATCTCTTGAATGACCAGTGATGCTGAATGTTTTTTCATATGTTTATTTGCAGCTTTTACTTCTTTGTCTGAGAAATGTCTGTTCATTTCAGATGCCCAGTTTTGAATTGGGCCTTTATATTTGGGAAGTCTGATTTTTTTTTTGTTCTTTATATATTCTAGGTAGTAGACCTTTGTCTGAGGAACAGCTGGTAAAATTTTTTTCCCACATAGTAGCTGTCTTTTAGCTCTGTTGGTGATTTCTCTTGCAGTGCAGAAGCTTTTTAAAAAGATGAGATCCTAGTTGTTGATTCTTTGTTCTAGTTCCTGTGCTACTGAGGATTTGTTCATAAAAGTTTTTCTTATGCCAATGTCTTTGAGAGTTCTACCTAACTTATCTTCCAGCAAGTTTAGTGTTTCTGTTTTAATATTTAGATCTTTAATCCAGTTCAATTTTAGTTTAGCGCATGATGAAAGATAGGGTCTAGTATTAATCTTAGTCAGGTTGAAATCCAGTTTTTCCAACACCATTTATTAAAGAGGCTATCTTTCCTTCAGTGAGGATGGTTGGCTCCTTTGTCAAAGATGAGGTAGCTGAGTATGTCTGGAGTTGTAAAATAAATTTTCTTAGCCACGTGTAGCAGTGCATGCCTATAATAGTAACACTCTAGGAGGCTGGAGCAGGAAGATTTCAAGTTTGAGACCAGCCTACGCAACTTCATGACTTAGAGAAAAGGGCTGGGCATGCAGCTCAATGTGAAGGTCCTGGGTTCAATACTTAGTACCAAAAAAAATTATCTTAGCAGCGAGTTTATAAAAATGACCTAAAGTTTCTTTTCTAACTTTGTTTAATGCTATGAAAGATATGCATGTGGCTTATTAATTTATTTTTGTAATGAAATGAAGAAAAAAGAAGCATTTGAATGGTATTGGAGAGTATAGAAAAGAGTTAATTTTTCTTGAACTCAGAAGAAACATTCAAAAGTCATTCAAAAATGACTTTCCTTTCCAAAAATTCCACATGAGCTGAAGATCACTAAATTTAAATACCTTTCTTTTCTCTTAGCAAATTTCATAGCAGCTTGTGGCTTTTACAAGGATTTGGAATTGTAAGAATCCTAACTTCTTAACTTGTACTGTTGCATTTTGAATATAATTTTACCACAGAGAAACTTCCAAGTCCTTATTTACACATACAGACACACACACACACACACACACACACACGCACAATGTAGGATTCTGTCTGCTCTTCTGATTTGATTCCACTTTACTTATTTAAATCCTTAAATTATTTTCATAACTACAGCTTTTTGGTGCAAATTCCTCAGTAGGGTTCTCAAACATGAGAGTATTTTTTTCCTTAAGCTTCTCAATCCTGAAGTTATATATTATGTTTCAGGCTTTTTGAAATGGTGTTGAGAACTTTGTACACAAAGCACAGTGGGCAGCTGCATCAGCATCATCTGGGAGGTTGGGAGAAATTCAAGATCCAGGGGCCCAGGCCCCTCTCTAGATCTCCTGAACTGTGCTTCCCTCTACTTTCATTGCCTTGCGGTCTGGTTGTGCCCTCTTTCTCTTTTTTGTGCTACTACATTTTTTCTTACCAAGGCTGCCACAGTGTTCTTTGTCCAATTTCTTGAATTTGAAATTCATATGTAGTTGAACAAGACTTTAAAACAAGGAGCCAAGCTGAGCATGATGGGGCACACCTGTAATCCCAGCACTTGGGAGGCAGAAGCAGGAGGATTGCCAATAGTTCCAGGCCAGCCTGGGGAATGTAATGAGTTCAAAGCCAGCCTGAACTACACAAGGGACCCTGTCTCAAAACATAAATAAATAAATAAAACAAGGAGCCAATGTTTTCTGTGTTTGTTTGCATCTACTCCCGTTTATTGTTAGTTGCCACTGGCGATGCTTTCTTCCACTCAGGTGTGCCATCCAGATTTCATCTTCTTGGTGTTGACTTGTCTCCCCTTTGAGGTTTTCTGCAAATTGGCCTTCATTTGATGACTTCTAGAGTCCCTTCTATCTCTCTAGTCGCTCTTAGTTTCCTTAAACTCATCTTTCTCTACCTATCCATTGACTGTCGTCAGGGTGTCTGTCCTAATGTTTTTTTCTGATTTTGCTCTAATACCTTTCCCCATCCATTTCCATCAATTCATTTATCATTCATATATTCAACAAATAATTATTGAGGCCAGCACTGGTGCTAGGCACTTGTTGAGTACTGGAGACAGAGCCCTGCTTAAGAAAGACAATCCTACCAGGGTGCCCATGTGCTGCATGTCAGCAGTGTGTGCCCTGGGAGCACAAGGAAGGGGCCCATTTGGGAGTCTACCAAGGCCTTCAAGAGAAATCTCTAGAATCTCTAAATTGCTCTAGAATTGGGCTTTTTCCCCTTATAAGTTTCACAGGCACTTATATTCAATATGTGCATAATAATAACAACAAAAAGAAGCTCCTACAAACCTATTCTTCATTCCCTATTGTCTATTGTATCAGTCTGCTAGATTCTGCTGTGTATCAATAACAACAAACAATCCCCAAACACTAGTAGCTTAAAAACAGCAAAGGTTAATTTCTCTTGAATGCTGTGTGTCCTTTGCAAGACAGCAGGGGCTGTGTTGATTGAGGTCCTTTAGAGACCAAGTTAAAGGACCAGCCCCATCTTCATGGCTACTGTGCCAGAGCTCTGGAAGCTCTTGTATCAGCAATAAAATAAGTGCCACTCTCTCTAGAAGCAGCCCTTGTTAGTTTTGCTTGTGACCTTGAACTTTTTGCAAGGCCCCACTCAAAAGGCCAGTGTGTACAGTCCCACCATGTGTCCCATTAGAATAGGAGAGAAGAATTGCAACATGTGTTGAACAGCACTAATGAGGAGCACACTTAACACAGATGGGAGCCCTTTTTCTTACAGTCATTCAAATCAGAAATCTTGGAATCCTTTGAAAACCCTTTTCCTCTTGTCCTTATTGTTTTTGCCCCTGGAAGAGCTCTTCCAATGCTTTCTTTGCTCTTATTGCTTTTGTTTGATGCAAGGCCTCATTCTTTTCTCACTTGGATATCACAAAAGTCTTTCATCACTGGCTTGATCCATTTTGAACATCACCTGCTGGCTGCCACCGTGATCTAATAAAGCTCCATCTGAATTAAGGCTCTTCAAAAGATCTTTGTTACAACAAAATAAGTTCCAAAACTTTAACAAGACTTCTCATTCACATCTGGCTTCTACTACTTGCCAGCCTTTTCTCTTATTAGTCCCGCATTTGCTACCCATGTTTAAATACTTTGTCCTACACTTTTCTGCATCTTTTGCTCTTTGTTCTGTCTAGAAAATGTTCCACTCACTATTACCAAACTCCTTTGCCTACAAATACTTTGCTCAAACTAGCAAATATGTAATCCTATTTTAAATTTGTTCCCCCAAAGAGAGCTTTCCTGATCTCAAATGGAATGGCAACTTCTACTCTACTTCTTTGTCACAAGCTTGTCCTTTGCATATCATCCTCCAAGCAATCACAACATGGTTTATATGTTTTACATTTCATGCCCCCCTCTCTGAACTAATATATAAACATCTTGATGTTAAGAACCTTTTACTAAATTTTGTGTTTCAGCAGAGTAAGTATGAAGTTCCTGGCACATAGATAATGCAAAGTAAATGTGTTACACATGGCTACAGACACAAAGATAAGGAATTAATTTTAAAATCACATCATAGGAAGATAAATTCTGCAAGCATATAATGGTTCATTTTAAAAAGAACTATATTCTTTGTCAAGATATGAAGTGTGTAGGAATGTGTATATATGTCTGTGTGTCACATCCCAATCAAATTCTTGGGCGAGTTAATTACTCTTAGTAAGCTTCAGTTGCTTTCTCTTTAAAACTCTGAAAAGGGACTAATTATGTCACCCATTTCATAGATTTGTTGGAAGGTTAACTCAGTTAATGCCTACAGTGAAGACATTTAGCTTCACTTATTAGTTTCCTATTGCTATTCCTATTTCTAATACCAAAAATTGGTAGATTAAAACACAAATTTACTGTCTTAAGAATTATGAAAATCAGTAGTCCAAATTAGGTCTCACAAGATGAAAATTAAGGTGTTCACTCTGGAGGTTCTGGGTGACAATCCATTTCCTTCCTTTTTTGTGTGTGTCTAAAGGTTGTGTACATTCCTTGTCTTATGGCCTCTTTCTTCTTCAAAACAAGCAATGTCCCTTTGAGTCTTTCTCATATTTCATGATTCTGACACATACTCTTTTAGTTCTCTCTTCTGTGCATAAAAACCCTTGTGAATACATTGGGCTTACCTGAATAATTTAGGGTAATTTCCCCATCTGGAGATCCTTAACATAATTATATCTACAACATCCTTTTTGCATGTAAGGTATGTAAGGTAGCATAGTCCTAGGTTCTGGGAATAAAGACATGGATTTTTCTGGGGGAACATTATTCTGCCTATCACAGTACCCAATATTCATTGTAAGGTGGCTTTAAAGTTTGGCTATTATCATTAGAATTATAGATTATTTCTTAAACATAATTAAAATGTTCTTTTGTAGAGCCAAAACACTTTGGAGCCATATAACCTTGATACAGTTGACCTTCTACCAATAACTTTGGAATGAAATTTACAGATCTCTTACTTCAAAATGTAGATTAAGTGATTCACATTTGAAAATTAGCCATTTTGTGATGCTGAGAAACACTTATAAAAAAGGAAATTGTTATTTATTTACTTAGGAGTTATCTCAGCAGCCCTGAGGAAGGCAATTTTACTATTGTTACTATCATTTAGTAACAACTAACGGCTATTGAGAAATAATTGTGTGCCAAGAGCTTTTCCAAGTGTTTACATAGGTGCTGGCGAGTTTGACCCCCCAACAACTACCTCATGAGAAAATTCCTTTTATTTTCCTTATTTCATGGCAGTTGAGAGTTTGGTCAATGTTTGAAGGCTAATAAGGGACTGAAACCTGGGTAGTTAGGCTATTGAACCTGCACTTTTAATCACTGCTTCATAAAAACAGGAGTGTAGAAAATAATGGTGTGACATTAGAAGAATGAACATTTTACTCTGGGCTAGTAGCTTTCAGCATCTCACATAGCTCACCATGGTTCAGGCTAACAGTATTTAGTCTTCCTGACCTCTAATTTTTGTGCATTTAAAGAATTCATAATAGAAGACTAATTGTGTTGGCTGTTGGTCAATTTCCAGAGATGCTTGAAAACAAATTTTCCAGTGAGTTCAGGCCTTAAAACATGTTCGTTAGGCTTTTTGTCTCTCTTTTTTTCCCACCTCTTTCCTGTCCTCCATTTCCTCATACTTTAGAAACATTAGCCACAGCGACTATTTTATATTATCTTTCTCTACATTTCGCCAAATTACTTTGACACATAGCATTGTAGAGCAAGGAAGCTGCCTTTTCTTTTTAAGAAAGTCATTATCCAAGTCAATGTTTCTAAAAAAGCCAGTGTTTCAAAGGGCTGCTTAGGGTAAACAGATGCTATTACCATTTTTACCACTATGGTTAGGTTGAAAAAGATAAAGGAGAGGTTATTAATAAGGCTAATTATTACAAAGAAAATGCTAAGAACAACTGTTGAAATATTTCAGATGAGGACTCACTTTAAGAGAATTGCTCTGGTGTATAAATGTGAAGAGTTGCTGACCTAGATGGAGGCTGATTGGTAGGTTTAGCATGATAAATAAATCGACTTAATGGGCTTTATATATTCATTACAGCCACATTAGAGAAATATCATATTATGTGAGAAATCTCTTTATGACAAAATAACCGAGGGAGAGGGCGACTAACAAATAGATGAAAATGAAATTATATGTAATGGATTAATAAAGTTTTCTATGTGAATAAAATGTATTTCATTTATAATCAATATTATCACATTCAAAATTGTTTGAAAATGAAAACAATGAAATGATTTCTTCATTTTACCCAGTGCATTTGATACTTACTCATAATCATACAGTTCTGGGAGTGTGTTACCTGTATCTCTCGGTCGGATTTAGCTCTTGTGCTCCAAGTTTTATTTAGAATCCTCTGGCAGATGAAATTGTTGACCTTAGTCAGCTAGAAAACAGCTGCTTTTCTATTTTGATTTGGAGTTAATGTTTTCCAAGTGTCAAGCACATGTAGAGAGATTTTTTCCATAGCCTGATATTAAACATTTTATTTATATTTCTTTTGCTTTTAATGGCCCATGGGTCTGTTTAGAAAAGCAAGAGCCAATTAGAACATTCACTGTAAATGGTTTTAGAGAGAAAAAAAAATCTCCCTTTGGTATTTCTATGGATGAATCAATATCACAGTCACTTATTTTCACTGACATGCTCAACTATAATGCTGCGCTCTGGAAACACAGTCTGCAGCCTATTTTGATTGGGTTAAATGTACAACTTCTCTTTGGAAGTTTTAAAGCTTCTACCTAAAGACAAAGCTAGATGACTCTCAATATTTTCAGATTTGAGTTTGTTTTGTCTGCTTAGATGGATACATTGCTAAAGTAGCCAGCTGATAATAGTTTAATGACAATTTTTTATTTCGTAGAATTATATTTTATAACTTCTGGGCATTACTTTCTCCTCTTATTTTGTGCTTGTTGATCTCTATGATTGAAATCTTGGTGAATAGCTGAGCTCTATTATTTTTATTTATATGTTCTGTAGAGTTCCCTGAAGTTTAGTGCAAACTGGGGGAGATTAAAGCTGAAAGCAGGCATATTGTCTCCTTTAGAGGTAGATACACTACCGAGCTAGTGGAGCATGCACCCTGGGCCCATGGAATACAGTGATGAGTGAAATTGAGAAACTGTCCTGGGTCCCGAGAGTACACATCATGGTGAAATTAAGACACTGAGCAAGTAGGGAGGAAACACTGTATGCTTTGCTACTTTTTTTTTTTTTTTTTTTAGTGAGGTAAAATCCTAGGAAATCTAGGTGGGATATTCAGTCTCTAAACCTGAAGTTCTCAAGAGAGTTATCCTTTTCCACAGGGCTGTGTGATTTATGGTAGCAGAGAAACTCTCTTGGCTGTCCTTGTGAAAGAGGGTGTTGTAGTGGCCACTAACTTGCTCTTTGTGTTTGCCTCTATGGAATGGAACATAGGAAAGCAACTCTAGTGGTTTCTTAATATATGTATGTATATCTATGTATCTATCTATCTATCTATTTATCTATATTTTTTTTAGCTCAGGCTGTTCTTGAACTCAAGATCCTCCTGCCTCAGCCTTCCAAGTACTGGGATTACAACTGTGTGCCACCAGGACCAGCTCTAGTAATGTTTTAAAATTTGTTTTTTTTTTCTGCCCCCAGGAACATTAAAAACGACCTATTTTAAATCAAATAAAAGTGAACCTTTGGTAACCGATGGTGAAGTCCAAGTCCCTGATATTATTCTTATAAATACAGTATATAATGAGAGTACAGTGACACCTACTGCTCGACCCACTCAACACCTTCCAGCCTGGGATATGGAAACTCCTTTCCGTGGGGACCAGCATCACAGGAATACAAGTAAGTTGAGGTACTGAATGAGAATGGCCTTTAATGTCTGTTGAAGCCACAGGGAGGTTTTTAATTGCTGCAACCAGTCCTCTGAATTCCTTGTTATCCGCGGAGCTCCAGTAATCTGGAAAGCCTGGGCAAGTGCCCTGCCTTACCCATGAAATGCCAGTGGTTCCGCTGTCCAGATAGGGACTGGATAAGAAATGAGACTGTGACCAAGCCTTTCAACCTGTCTGGGATATAAAAACTATGCTGCTTACTTAATATGAAAGTTCATGCTGATGTTTTAAAGTTATTATTTTGAGATGGTTAGGTTAGTAAGTTAAGTTACTTATGTTGTTGGTTCCTTGCAGGAGAGATCCCCATTACATAATGGATGGCAAGTGGTTTAATGGGGCCATTCCCCTATTTGCTTTTGAGCTATCGATGTGCTCTTCATATCTTGCTTCCCTTTCCCCCCTCTTTAATTGGCTGTGAAAGTTAGTTTACATGTTGGTGACTGAAAATCACACCTTGAGAAAAATGGCATGTGTAAAACTCTTCAGCAGGAGGACAAATGAAAGGATTTGTTACTACAGAAAAAGAGCTGGGAGAAAAATTCCTGGGGGTGAGAGACAGTGATATGGTGGCAGACATCATAGTCTGGACTGTGACTCTGTCCCTTGATAACCTTCAAATCTTGAATAATCACTCAACTTCTAGACTGCTTGGTGTGAGTGGGTTTGTGTGGAAAGTGGCAAGGAACTTCAGCTACGATCCAAACAGAGATGATAGACTGAGACCTTTTCCCACAGTTGTTCTGCCTCTTATTTGCCACTTAATAAGAAGATAAGTTTATATGATTGGAAATTACACAAAGCCCACCCATCCTGGTCATTTTTTTTCCTTTCTTGTTCATGAAACCCACAGTGAGATATCACATCTTAGGTCTGGGATGGAGTATTTTTATTCTGAGCCAGGAAAGGAAGGACTAAGTTGCCTTTTAGTTATCACAGTATATGTTTGCAGGATTATTCTATTTCTCCAGCTTCCAAAAGACAGACTGCCTGGATTCCATTGTTTCATCAAGCCCTTATATGTATTAACTATTTCTGATGCTTAGCATTCACCACAGATTCATAGGGAGACAGGTTCATTATCTGCAAACCAGAATTATGCCAAGTTAAATTTATTTTCCTCATGAGTTTAATTTTAAGGTTTTATATTTTGGTCATGTATTAAGCACTTCATTATTCCTAAGGACAGTGTTTTCCATCGCAAATGCAGAAATAATAAAAAAAAAAAGCAGAGTTAATGTGGTTGCAATTACAATTGTTATTTTCTTCTACTAAGTGGATTTGTTTAGAGCTTGAAAATTCTGTCATTTGTAAAGATTCAGATAAGGTTGACAAACATACACTGCAGCATAAAGAAACATATGGTGGTTATTGCTTAGTTTGGAAATTTGATGGAAGTCTGATCGACTCACTTTTTTCTTCCTCTGGCTGGCACATTGCTTGAGCATATGAGTATAATATGATATCTAGAGGAAATTCAAGTGAAATTATAATGATTAAATGAAAAAGGCTGAAGCCTTTGAATGTGTGTGATTCCATGTTGTTAATATATTTGATATTTAGTACTGAGTTTTAGTGTCTGTCCGCATAGACTCTCAATATATTGTCCACATTAACTGAAATTATTTATTGCAAGGTATTTGATGATTTTTCATACAGTTTACTAATAGTGCTAGCCTGTGATAATAGAGCTTTTGATAGTTTTCAAGACATGTTTGAATATTTTCTTTGTGGTCTTTATAATTAACTGATGAGATTCTCAGGACAGGAATACCAGTTTTTGAGGTATGAAATTTAGTTGACATATCCAGTTATCACTTGCTTAGTAACTGGTAGACACAGAATTGAGTTTCAGATCTTGTGACTCCTTGGTCAGTGCTCTTTCAAGTATTTCATACTTCTTTATGTAATTTTATTACTTTCTTGGGCTAGTCAGAGTGTTACTGAATAAATTTTAAGCTCCAGATGAGTAGAAGTAGTCTGTTTTTATTGGTGTATAGTACATGATAAAAAATTAGTTGAATGAATAATAAGTATATTTAAAATTTTTATTATGTCATTTATCACTTTTGTAAGTGATGTGTGATCATACTTTTGTCACTTGATATTTATTTAAACAATTTTTTAAAAAAGTACTGTGTAATTTTTTTTGTATTACCTTGCAGCAGAGAACTTGTTTTTATCTCTTTACCCATGTATTATTCTCCAATTAAGATATTTTCAGTTCCTGGCATATGTAAAAGTTGTTTAAATCTACTTCAGTTCCAAAATACTCTGGCCCAGACATTCTGTCCTATCTCGATTTCTTGGGTAGGAAAACAGGGCATGGGGCCCTAACAAAAGCAAGCAGGAAGTAGTCTTTTACTAAGAAATTTCCTCCTTGCAGGGATGTGTGTGGAGCTTTAACATCTTGCAGTTTGTAAAGTTTTAACCAGAAAAACCATAGTATTATATTTTGTAGCACAGCTTGGTTTTATGAACATGAAATGAACTTTATGTGACATCTGTTATTTAAAAAGTTTTCATAAGTTGCATTTTAAAAACCAAACAAAATGTGAAAAAGAAAGAAAGCCCCACAGCTCACTTTTACGCTGCTTCAGCAAGGATTGTTTTCCTACGTTGCACCCTATATCTGGGTTTTAAGTTTTACTTTTTCTTTCCTATACATTTTATAAATATTTAAGTATATTTTGAACTTTAAGGAAAGGAGAAAACTCTGGCCAGCCAATACATTTTGGGTCACAGATAATATGGTACAGACTGAAAGAACCTACATACTCTGATCAGGAATTAGAGTGACAAGATAGTGGATTGGTACATGGAAAGCTTACCTTGTTCTGCCCCTTTGTCACATCTTTGATAACTAGCTCCTAAATCTTCTGCTTCAGATGAAAATGCACCATCCTTCTCATTCATTCACTCTTTTAAAATAACTTTTTGAGATATTATTCACATACCATAAAATTCACCTTTTTATTGTGTATAATTCAGTAGTTTTTAATGTATTCACAAGCTGTGCAACCATCATATTTTGATCACTGTAAAAAGAAATGTGATATTCTTTGCTCTTTGTTTCCCCTTTCCTGGAGCTCCTGGCCTAAACTAATCTGTTTCCTGTCTGCATAGATTCCTTTATTCCGAATCTTTTATACTTTGTATGTGGCTTCTTTCACTTAGCATAACATTTTCATATGCATCCATGTTATATAGCATGTATCAAGACCTCATTCCTTCTTAGTGCAGAATAATATTTCATTGTATCATTGTACAGATATTTACATTTTGTTTATCCATTGATGGGTACTTGAGTTCCTTCTATCTTTTTAGCTATCATGAGTAATACAGCTATGTGTTCATGTATAAGCTTTTGTGTGAACATATGATTTCAATTCTCTTTATTTTTACCTAGAAGTATAATTGTGTTCTCTATTTCCTTAATTATCTTTTCTCTAATTGTTTTATCCATTATTGAAGTGGGTATTTATGTCTCCAACTATTATTGTAGAACTATTTATTTTTCCCTCTATGTCTATCACTTTTTGCTTCTTGTATTTGGACAGTCTGTCACTAGGTATATAAATATTTACATTTGTATTCTTCTGGCCAAATTGAACCTTTTATTGATATGTCATGTCCTTGTCTCTTCTAAACTTTTTTGATTTAAAGTCTATTTTTTCTGATATTAGACTAGCCATCCTGTCTATCCATTGAAATTTATATGTTAATGTGTTTTTCCATCATTTCACTTTCAATCTATTTGTGTCTTTGGGTGTAAATAAAGTCTCTTGCTAACAGTATACAGTTGAATTATATTTTTTAAAAAATTTATTCTGACAACCTCTCTTGTTTGGGGAGTTTAAGCCATTTATGCTTAAAGTAATTACTGATAAAGAAGTACTTCTGCCATTTTGTTCTTTGTTTTCTATATGCTTTGGAGTTTTTATTCCTCATTTCCTATATTTCTCTATTCTTTTAGTTGTATCTGGTTAATTTTTTGGTAGTGAAACATTTATATTCATCTCTCATTTCCTTTGGTGTATATTGTACAACTATTTCCTTTGTGATTACCATGGGGATCACGTTTAATATCCTAAAGTTGTAACACTCTACCTTGAATTTATACCAGCTTGACTTCAATTATGCACAAAAATAACTCTATTCTTACTCCACCCTTTAGGTTGCTGATATCACAGAGTTAAATCTTTGTGCATGTGTGACCCAAATCATAAACTAATAGTACCTTGAAATGCATTAGCCACTAGCTTTTAGACTAATAATTGCTTCCTAAAGTGTATTAGCCTCTTAAATCATGCAAAAAACAAAATGTGTGATCACAGACCATTGCTATAATGACTCTAATTTTTATAATTGCCCATGTATTTATCTTAAATTTTACTATTTCACGTTGTTTCTAGATACCGTCTAGTGTCCTTTCATTTTAACTAACTAGCTCCCTAGTGCATTTCTTACAAGTGGTAACTAACTCTCAGCCTTTATCTATAAATGTCTTAATTTCTTCCTTAATTTTGAAGAAGCATTTTGAAATATGTAGAATTCTTGATTGACTGTCCTTTCCTTTTAGTTCTTTAAATTTATTAGCCCACTGCCTCCTGGCCCCTAAAGTTACTGAGGAGAGATCCACAGATAATCTTATTAATGATCTGTTATATGTGACTGTATTGGAAAGCTTGCTATGACAAAATACCTGAGAAAATCAACTTAATGGAAGGTTATATTTTTTCTGTTATGGTTTCAGTCAGTGGTCAGGTGGCTCCATTGTCTCTAGGCCTGTGGTGAGGTAGAATATCATGGCCAGAGGAGCATGGTGGAGAAAAGCTGCTCACCTCCTGATCAGGAAGCAGGGGAGGGGGAGGAAGTGGCATAGAGCAGGTGACAGGGAGGAATGGGCTGGGGTAAGATACACCCTTCCAGAAAAATGCCTCCAGGGACCTA